TCTCGTGAGATTCCAAGATGGCTGGGAAAAATAAAAATAAAAATAAAATAGGGCAGTTAAAGAAACTGCCCCACACTAAGGCTATGGCTGTGGTGCGGTCACAGTCAACCCTGGATCCTGGCAGATCAAGGGTTCACAGTGAGCCCACGATTTTGCCTGGGGGCTGGAGTGACGACCAGCCCTCCTCAGCCAATATAAAACAGGCAGCTGCCACACAATGCACTCGTAATGCCAGTGTGTGACGAGCACACTTGAGTGTTGCTGGCTGCTGGAGCTGCTGCCTGAGGCAACGTGAGGAGAGGTTGGAGGTCTGTTGAGGAGCGCAAGGAGAAGAATTGGGCAGCCATAGCCAAGGCAGGGAGCACTCTGCTCCCCTCCCCTCTGGCTGGTGTTGGTCCCACGGGACAAACCTAGTGACGCTGCGGGACTACGGCAGTGCGGCACAGTGAAATTTTGGCCTGCTGTTTTTTCACTGCGGTAGTAGGGGAGTGCTGCCAAAATTCTGCGGCGGCAACGCGACTTTTACGGCAGCGGTACGGAAGTGCTGCCGAAATTCTGCGGCGACAACACGGCTTTTTACAGCAGCGATACGGAGGTGTTGCCGAACCTTTGCAGCGGCGACGTAGGCTTTTACGGCGGTGGTACGGAAATGCTCCCGAACTTTTGCGGCGGTGACACAGGCTTTTACAGCGGTGGTACGGAAGTGCTGCCGAACTTTTGCGGCGACGACGCAGACTTTTATGGCGGTGGTACGAAAGTGCTGCCGAACTTTTGCGGTGGCGACGCAGGTTTTTACGGCGGTGGTACGAAAGTGCTGCCGAACTCTTGCGGAGGCGACGCACGCTTTTACGGCGGTGGTACGGAAGTGCTGCCAAACTTTTGCGGCGACGACGCAGGTTTTTACGGCGGTGGTACGAAAGTGCTGCCGAAATTTTGCGGCGGCGACGCAGGTTTTTACAGCGGTGGTACGGAAGTGCTGCCGGAATTCTGTGGCGGCGACACAGTTTTTAACGGCGGTAGTGCGGACGCGCTACCGGATTTTTGCGGCGGCAACTCTGGTTTTACGGCGGTGGTGCGGAAGCGCTGCCGGATTTTTGTGGCAGCAACTCCGGTTTTAACGGCGGTAGTGCGGAAGCACTGCTGGATTTTTGCGGCCGCGATTCTGTTTTTTTTTACGGTGGTGCGGAAGCGCCGCCGGATTTTCCGACGGCAGTACCGGATTTTTGCAGCGGTGGCACTATTTTCACAACTAACGACAATATTTCTGCATTGAGTGGAGGTGGGACGTTGACACAGAGGAGGTGCGTCAAAGCGGTGTTTTATTTTGAAATGGTGTGGGCGTGACGCCGTGGAGACGCTGTGCTTTGGAGCCAAGTGGCGGTAACGAGAAAACGTCGCCAAATTATTGGAAGGTGATCGGTGCTGAGAGGGTACTCTGGCAAGCGGTCGTCAAAGGGAGTGGTGTCGATCACTTTACTGACCACTGGGTGCAACGACCTTCTCGTCAAAAAGAGCGAAAAATTTATACGGTCTTCTTGAGTGTACCGTTCAAACTTCACTCAAGGTCAGTTGAATGACTCAAACTTCCTTTCACGCCTGTGTGGATCCGCACTCTGCTTGACCCTGTTCGTTTTGAATATTCAAAAGAAAAGGTAGAGGAAAGTTGTGCAAGTCATGCATGTGAACGAAAAAGTCTGACTCGAGAATGAGATTGTATTGTTTTCTTTTGAACGTGTTTCCTTTGCGGTCTATGCGGGTAGGTAGAGGGATGCTTACAAAAGAGAATGATTATGCCTATTTGAGATGAAGGAATGCATTGTCTTCTTTCTACCTTTCATCTGCCTGCTTGTCGAAAAGAACTTGTTGTTTTGGAAAAATGTTGTTCAACGTGTGCCAAAGAATGAATTTTATTGAAATAAAGCAGATAAGGTCAAACGGATTTAGCTTTTCCCAAGGATTGACCCATTCTGTCCGGAACGACCTTATCTACCTGTACCGTTCTAAATGATTTTCATTTTCTTTATCTCTTCTGAGTTCTTTTCATCTAAGTTACCCCAGAACCTAGGAGAAATAAAAAAATATATTAAAGCTACTTGCGATGGATGCATCCGCTTTCTCTAGGAAGCATCTGGGACGGGGGTTCGTTGCTTCAGGAGTCAACCCTGTTATCGACCCAGAGTGGACCGTTCTACGGGGGGGTACTTGCCGATTCGGTGGAGACGGTCCGACTTCTGAGATCCGAGTCTTGTGCTCGGATGAGGTGGAGGAGTACCCCAGACCACTTCCTAGAGGAAGAGGCATGCTTCACGTCAAGCAATGCCCCTGATCAAGAATCATGTGCAAGCGGTTTGTCATCCAAAAAGATTGAAAATGAACGAAGACAGGTATGCGCGTCGAATCTTAGATCGGCGATAGGATGGAATGAATGACTTTCGCAACGCGTCTCATCAAGTCCAAACTGAGGTTGTCTGACTACCATGTTGGCAACATCAATGTGATTTTCGATTAGCCAACTTTTCGTTTGCAGTTGTTTTGATTGTTTTGTGGTATTCGACCTGAGGCGGCCGAATAATTTTTTATCTTGTCTTATTGGATGTATGAGATGATGATTTGTTTTTTTTTCTTCAGTTATCTTTTCATACTGGGAATATTTATTCGTGTTGGCTACGGTCGATTCCTTTTGATATAATTATATGTATGGTTGCTGTAACTTTCGTTTGACTTTTTGTTTAAGGGACTAGGATTAATGAAGGGTTTCACGCTTGGTTGAGACAGTCCTAGTCGACTGACGTCCGCTTCGTACTTGGGAGATCAGCGCCCTGGGGGACGAACGGCGTTGGGTCCACTTGGTGTTAACCAAGCGACCCCTATACTGCAGCGAAACGAGCAAACGCCCTCGGCTGGCCTATCTCTGCGATTGCATCTAAAAGCTTTTGCATGTGGGTCAGTAGCTCGGTAAGGATACGCCCCTAAGGGTGGTGACAGCCCCTTAGAGAGGAAAGCTTATGCCCTGCGGGAACCTGTCCTGTCGTAGGGGACCGCGGGATGTATAGCAGGCGCACCCGGCTAGAGCGGCGAAGGAGCGATGCAACCTCGTCCGTCTCGGCGGTTCGCGGGATACTTAGCGTCGTTCCCGAGTTGTCTCTCGATCTTGATTTTTTTGTTTTACTCCTGCGTTACATGGCCGGGAGGGCCCTCGCTCGCGCGGGGGCCGATGCGCTCGACAATGCCTACCACCACCACAGAGTTTTTCATACTACGACTAACCAAAGTTTAACCCAAAAATCCTCAATGATCCTCCGAGCAGGATACCTTCAGTGTGTCTCATTCCACATGTAACACCTCTAATCTCCTCCTCCGAACATACCACCATCTTCATCAGATCTTCAGCCAAGCACACACCGAACTCCACCGCATTTAAAAAGCCTCCATTAGTATCCAAAAACATGTAGCCACCAATTCTTCGACACAGCGAAGTAAGTTACCATGATCACCGAGTTCATAGGAAAACAACGGTCATACTGTTACTAGTACTGGAAGACCATACACAGTACGATCAGATACCAGCCCTTTCCTTCAAGATACCTCATAATTGAAACTCAATAGATACATCAGTAAAGCACCGCACGCGATCTCCGACGCGTTCGTTGTGGGCGTACACCACAGACTCATCAGGGAGAACCGAAGTATCCTAAGCAAGCATCCTTGCTTGGTGAGACGGTTAAGGCCATCCCTCTCCTCCTTTAAATACCAAAAAACTCAGTACTCTACTCCTTCTACACGATGCCAACCTCCCCATCTAGTCCCTCAAATCGTGATCCCACACTACTCACTCGCGGAGGGTCCCAACTTCCCTCCATTTTTTCTTTTTTTTGTTTCCCGGTAAAAAGAGAATCATCTGATTACACCATACCTTCATCACTTTGCATTCCATCATCTCTCCCGTATTACAACCCATCTCGATCCCTTCAAACTGAGTACCCACCTTAGCGAACAAGCAAGGGACTCCCCGCACTTCGTAGCCACAGTATTTCAAAACCTGTTTCGCCAATCTCCCTGAATACAATCCCGCACCCAGATCAATCTTGACTTCACACAGAAAAACCACATACCTCCTTCATTGCGGTACCAAATCGCGCGTTCCGAAGTAAACGAGCCGATCTTCTGACATCTGTTCTCACTTCCCGACCGTCCTCCTTCCCGGTGATACTAATTATCACCATAGCCATGTATAGTTTCTGTTTTTTCATGCGTGGCAGAAGCCGAACGACCCGGTAGGCCCCCGATAAACACAACCTGCATTCTATACTCTTCTTTGTAAGTAGCAAGGGCGGCGTATGTCTTTCCACTGCCATCCTGTAGGTACGACTACGATACCTACAGCAGCCTACCTATCAGTTCGTGGACACCGAACAATACCACAAAAAACCTCCTACTCAGAAAAACGACATTTTCTTTGAACCCGGTTTCCACCCTTTAGATCCGTACCCCTCAGGTAAACAACTAACCCCCAGAGCCGATGGGAAAAAAGTTGCGCAAATTTCTGAAGAAAAAAAAAAAACACCCAAAAATACATCCAAAATCTTCAAAAAAAGACCCTCATGCTACCTCAAAAACATATGTAGGTCGGGGTAGATCTTGAGGAGCAAAGCCCCCCAATTACCACCGGTCACTCTAACAAACCTAGCTAGAGAACAGAGAGAGAGAGAGAGAGAGAGAGAGAGAGAGAGAGAGAGAGAGAGAGAGAGAGAGAGAGAGAGAGAGAGAGTTTGGGGATGTTGACAAGCACACACCCACACACACACACAAACACACACAATCAGTTTTCATTCCTTGTAGCTCTTTTTTATTGCTTCTTCTGACAGAAGACTCCTTTCGGAGGATACCATGCATGAGGTCAGCTCAGGAAGGGTTAGTCCCCCGGGAACAGAGGCTGGTGGCAGAAAGGGTGGTGTCACTGGAGTGGGAACACTGGGGTGATGGAGTACATATTGCGTTACCTCCTCTGAAGTGCTCGCTTGGTTCCCGCTGTCTGTTTTCTCGTGATCCTCGACATCTGTGTCCACCATCCTGTGCAGGGTGAATCCTCCTCGTCTTCTACCTGTCAAAAGAGCCCCCCCGGCCATCTCCTGGTCGCTACTGACCATTCCCGGATCGATCTCACGGTTACTTGTCCGCGTCAGAGTGTCACTTTCTGCAGACTCTGATCTTGCAGCTGCAAATCTCATACCCCAGGTTCCTCGTGCGGCAATGGGCCGACCACTGCGCTCCAGAGCTGCACCCCTTGGATAGTCATCACCCGTTCCCCTTCCGGGGGGGTTGGGCCCTCGTTGAATTTTGCTGCCTGCTCCCACCGCCCCAGCTCGAGCTGCGTTGCTTACATCTTGTGTCCTGCTTCCTCTCTCTTTCCTCTCTTGGCGAAGCCGAGCGGCAGTCCACCCCGATCCCTTCCCACCCACCGGCTTCTCGTCGCTTTCCTCATCCTGTGCTCTTGGCGACTGCAATCGAGCCTGACTGCCTAATACATGGCGCAGCTCCTCTGCTGCTGTCGGACTTCCACGGTGTGCCAGTGCCCTTTCCAGCATCCGACGCTCCACCTGGGCAAGCCTCTCTCCCTCACCTTTCTCCATCTTCAGATCCTTCAGAGGCGATTTCATGTCTACTGTTGCTGCATCGGAGTCGTCACCGTCAGCCCTCCCTCTCAATGTGTCAGACCGCTGTGTAGTTGCCGCCATCGACCGCCATGACAACAGATGTCTCGGTGTGGAGTGCCGGGAGTTTGTGAGTGGGGTGCCCTTGGATCTGGGAAATCCCAACTGGGACCTGCAAGTGCTCACCGGGTCGGCAGAAAAAGAAAGGTGTTGTTATTTATGAGACATAATAGTAGCGTACACTCTAGTGTTTTTTTTTCCCCGGTCAAGCTACCAGTTAATTGGTCAAATTTTAAGCTCAATTCATCTATCAACCAATCAATTCAACCAATCGGTATCCGTTGAGTACCCTGAAAAAACTGAGGAAATAAGCCAGATGGACTGAAGAGGGGCTGTCTCCTTCCCACAGACAAGAGGATCAATGGGACGCTGGACCCGCTTTCCAGCAGGTGAAGCTCCCCACCAATAGATGGAGTGGCCAACAGCAGGACTGCTAGGGGAGGCTGCTCAGACGCTGGACCCGCATTCCACCAGGTCGTACTCCCCACCAATAGATTGGAGTCACTATCTAGCTTTGCAGTATATGTCACTAAGGCTCCCCAATTTACCAATTTTCATGGCGTAGTTCAAACAAGGAGTAGAGTGTTGCCTCTAGAGTGTTGCCTCTAGAGTGTTGCCTCTAAAGAGTGTCGCCAGAGTGTTGCCTCTTAGGTCTTCCACCAACCCTCTATTTCTCTATGCTGGCTGCTTAGCTTCACTTATTTCTGTCTCTTCGCCATTGATATGACTCTATATGAGATATATTTCAAAAAAAAAAAAAAAAAAAAAAAAAAAAAAAAAAAAA